TCTTGTACCGGCAAATGACTTCTTCTCACCGGTGATTCCCGATGGTTTTAGAGGACAATTACTCCTCGTCGCCCCCTGTTGTTTCAAAGAATAGTACAAACGGTGAATGCGACAAGTATAAAAGCCTCGTCCATTTGGGAAGGTGCGCGCGCAGTCAGCGGAGGCTCGCGAAGCGGAGCCAGGCAAAAGTATAAATCCCGCTTAAGGCTGGAACCCTGATGGGCGCTGGGCAATAGTCAGAAATTACAGCTGCATTCTTTACATAGCTGTCCTCCAACCCCAGTCCTTTGCAGCTCCTCTTCTTTCCTTCTCCACTGGACAGTGAACTTTAGGATGCTGCAGTAAATTTTGCCCCATCCTGATCGCAGCTGCCATTACTAAAAGGTTCTCAATATGGTTGACTGATTGAGATACATACATTCTCGTCCCAAATATCTTATTTTATGTTAAAAGTACTCTGGTCTTTCTGAGGCCATAAAGACCTGTGAAAAGTTTTGCTTTGCCATGCCACTGTGAGCATTTAATTGACAATTTAATGCTCCTCTGATTCACTATTTCCTTCAAGTGTGCAATGGAAATGGCTGTGATTGGTTACAATGCCTGAATAGCCTAAAATTTAATTGGTCAATGTCTGCTAAATGATGGTGTATTTCAAATATTGTGTGATATGGACAAAGGATAGACCAAAAAATAAATAAAAATTGCAAAATGATTCTGGAAAAAATAAATGTTGGTATGTTGTGTTTATGGTCTCTGACACCTGGACTTTTTTTAAGTTAAGAAAATAATAAGGAAGAAAGAAAGTCAATACAAATACAACAGCAGAGATGCCTGGACCCCTAACTAGACCTTGTAATAAAAACATGGCCTTAATCTCACCTGCAGGTTGACCTCTGCCTCAAAGAAGGTCAGACAGGAGCAGAAGTGTCGTTCTGAGTCTATGTCTGTCAGCACCACTGTGAAGAATGTCGGGAGTTTCCTCTCACGGGACAGTCTCCATCCACCAGGCTGGCAGAACTGTAAAAGCACAAAAAAAACAAACGCTGTCAGACTTGACTCTACAAGAGCCTGGCATTAGCAGAACATGCAGTCGGCACAAAAACAACCACTACATCTTGGTTACCATAAGAGATGACATCATATGCACAGAGAAAAATAACAGGAATTGAATTTAGGGTTGTTGAAATGCATTTCAAACACTTTTCATTGTTTTGACAGGGCTTACTGGAATGCAGTATGAGGCTGTTATGGTACGTCATTGTGCAAATGGGCTAGTGTGTGATCATATGCAGAATGTGCCACTTCAGATAGTACATCCTCTCATCAGAAGGCAGGAAACACCACTGACTGCCTCAGTGCCCTTCAAAAAGCCCCTCCACATCCATTCTGTTACAAAAAATATCCTAATAAATAAACCTGGATAATATCCTGTAGCTGACTAACTGTCCTGCTGCTGAATCCATGCTGCCACAATTAAGTGCCACAGCAAAATAAATGATTTACAATCAGTTGTAAGTATGAATCTGTATTGAATGTGATGCAAAAAAGTAAAAATCAAAGCTTTTGAAGTGTTTGAATTAAATCAATTTGAAAATGTGTACTCCTGCACAGCAAAATAATCAAGATTTCAGAAGCACAGTGGCTTTCCTGTAGCTCAAACTAGTGTCACGGTACCCAAATTTCAGCAGTTGGTGCCAAAAACTATTATATATCTATTTTAACAGTTATCATTTACCTATTTGAAAATACAAACATTAAATAAATTAAATCAGTTAATTATACATAATATAATAAGGTTACACTTTATTTTACGGTGTCCTTGTTACAGTATAATCATACATTTAAGTACCAAGTAATATTAATTAACTACATGCACTATATGGTTAGGGTTAGGATTAGGGTTTGGCTTAGGGTTATTTGCATGTAATTGTGCATAATTTACTGTTATTATAATAGTACGTACATGTAAGATGTGTAACAAGGACACCTTAAAATAAAGTGTCACCTATAATGATTATTCATTTTAAGTAAATAATAGAATAAAACAATGTAGGCTTCAAATATTGTTCAGTTATGCAAACATTGCAATGAAAAGATCAAATGAAAAGTCAAAGAAAAAGAAAAAGTGGCAGGTCTATTGCACTTTGCAAGAATTAATGCCCAGATCTATTTTGACATATCAAAATTTTTGTCCCATCTGCTGCTATGGTTATCATTATGTCAAACATCAGAAGTTTTGACAACACTAGGTCAAATGGTAGAGCATGGTGCTAGCAACGCTAGGTCATGGGTTCGATTCCCAGATTCCCAGCAAGAACTGAAAAAATTTAAATGTGCACCTTGAATGCAATGAAAGTGCCTTTGGATAAAAATCTCTAAATGTAAATGAAAATGAAAGTGCATGCAATGGATAGATGCTGCTAAAGACGCGGCTCTCCTGGATAGCGGTAATAAGATAGGAGAGAACGAGGCATCAGACTGTGAGGAAAGCTGCTGTGTTGGTGCTCAAGTTCAAAGTGGTTTGGCAGGCACAGTGAGGCTGGATCACAAATGGTGGCCTGGCAGGAGATAGACGAGGAAGAGCAACAGAGGAAAGTCAGGAACAGAGATGAAAGAAAGAGTTGGGAAATTACTGCACACTGCACAAAGACTAACGTTAGACAGCTTTTGACTCACGGCTAGGCAAAAGCGATAAGGTGAGTGGGTGGAAACAGACGATAAAGAGTGAAGGGAGAAGGAATGAGTGCCAGAGGGACAGTGAGAATGAAAGACAGAGCTATACAGAGAGTGTTGGATTGACCTCAGGGCTTGAACCAGGATGTTAGCATCCCGCTGCAGCCACAATAGAAGGCAGGAAATCTGGAGCGCTGGCAGGCGAAGACGGAAGAGTGGGATGCTCTTTTCCCTTGTCAGATTGGGACAGGTTCCAGGAAAATAACAGAAAAATATGAAAATATTCAAAGTATGCGATAAATTCCCAGCCAAATCTAGATAAACAAATAATGAGAGTGTGTACGTAGGGTTGATGATGTGGGACGGCAGTGCCACTAGGGTTGGGTACCGAAACCCGTATGTAACCGGTATGTACTAGAACCGAATCAGAACGCAGATTTTGGTGCCTCATTTCGGTGCCACCAATGCTTGAGCGATCGATTGAAATATTTGTTCTCTGGTTCTCCGAAACGGACGTAAGGATCACTGGCACCGCACGTGAAAAATAATTTCCCGACTGAGAAAATTCACGAACGCAAGTCGGAAAGCTCTAATAATACAAATCCAACACATCTTTGTAGTAACGCGAATGTCCATGTTGTTTTCACATTCCGACTTAAAAGCACAACTCGGGAAATGAGAGCATCCGATGAGCGCGTGAATGCAGTAATTACACTTGCTCTGATGGCAGCAGGTAGATACCGTTCTATACTGTAAAAAGCATATGGTAAAAAGGCTATGTCGATTAGCAATGGATTATAAATATACTTAATTATGAAAATGAAATATAATTAAAAATGAAAATACCAAAGATGGCTTGAATAACACAGATAAACTATACATTGTCGCAGTCGAGTGTTTATTGTCTTTGTTTTATCATTCAAAATGTTTATATCTTCTGTTTACTCAGTTACAGCCATAGCAATGCCTTTGTCCACATTAGGGATTTCCTGAGTCCTACTCCTTTTGTGATGCTCATGTGGAGTTTCTGCGCGAGGGCGCCCTCTGGCGTCTAATATGAATGAAACAGACATGAAATGTGTTTATAGCGCTCAATAATGGCCAATCCATCCTATTTTGGGTAAAATTTTTTTTTTTAAAGTATTGGTTCAGGCACAGTTTAGGCACCGGAACTGTTTTAAAAGTATCGATTTGGCACCGGTATCGGAAAAAACTCAAACGATACCCAACCCTAAGTGCCACACAGACCCAAAATGACGCTGTACATTTGACGCAAATGACAACCTACGTACAACCCACAGTGAACGTGCTGTGCTGCTATCCCTCAAAGTTTCGTTTTTATTCCCCTTAAATTTAATGTGACTAGCTCTATAATTGTGGAAAATAGGTTGTGTATTATTACACTTAAGCTACATCACTACTCTTCATTCCTGAGGCTGTTATTATTCGAGTGGCCAAAGGCTCTTAGGTCTGGCGTTCAGTCAAATACTACAAAAACCAAGCCTCAGTCTGAAGTGTTCTGCACGTGTTTGGTTAAGTTCACAAGACAGAACATCCAGACATACAAGAACTGTGGTAAGTGTTACAATGAATAGTTATTGGATTCTGTTATCTGACGACAAAAATAAAAATGAAACACTATGGAGCCCAAACAAGGGATCAATTCTTTAATCATGACTGTGATAAGATGTCTTTGCTTCTGTATGCTCCAAACAGACCTTAAGTACAAAGTACAAAAGGACAAAATTGTGACAATTAACAATTTGTGTTCATATTCTGATTCATATTTGCCATTCGTAATGGTTTCATTAACTCTTTCTGTACTGTCAAGGAAAAAAATATTTTAAAATAGTAATGTGAATAACTGGCAAATTTGATTTTGATAATTAAAAAAGTAAACAATTCTTGCAAAAGACATAAAATGCAACCCAAAATTTAAAATAATAAACAATAACACTAAACAAACATGTTGTAACATTTTTATTCATTTATTTATTTTCATAAATATTACTGACAAAACTCCTAATGTGCAAGATTTAAATCTCATGAGCCACAAGTTGTATGCATGTCAACAGTTATATGTTAGGGAATCACCTACACTGGTTGCAAAATACTGTTTGTTTTTGATTCAGAAAAAAGATAAATAATCATTTGTTCAGGAATCAGACTGGCTGCACTGGTCACGCTGTATGGTTTTGATTTGCTGAAAAAAAAGAAGTACAGGTGCATCTCAATAAATTAGAATGTCGTGGAAAAGTTCATTTATTTCAGTAATTCAACTCAAATTGTGAAACTCGTGTATTAAATAAATTCAATGCACACAGACTGAAGTAGTTTAAGTCTTTGGTTCTTTTAATTGTGATGATTTACCTTTTGACCTCAAAAATGCAAATACGGAGCATTTCAAAGGTAGTATAACTGATAATACTACTGCAGTATTTAATCATTTGCAAAGAATATCCAACATTTAATGTGCTGATTATTCTATGATAATTCTCTGAAGTCTAGGGATGGGAAGATTCCCCGATTCGCTCGGTGCATCGGCATAAAAAGTTAACGATGCGATGCATCGGTTTAAAAAGTGTGCATCGGCTACAAGTTGGCGTTTATATCACAATGCATCGTTTCTAACATATTTGCATCGGTAAAAACCGATTCATTTATATATAATTACTAGTGGATGTGCTATACTTTTATTATTTAGAAAGTAATAATCTGTGACCAATATTTTATATGTAGATTGATTTCTCCTCTCTAAACTGTTTCTCAAGCGCGCGCTCTCATCACCGCTGCT